ATGGCAGTGAGGATAGCATCATAGTCAAGAGTATAGATATCTACCCGCAGCCTAAGCAGCTCCACCCAGTCAGGGAGCTCAGCCGCGTCGTCAAACTTCGTACGCCAAGCGTCGCTCTGACGGGTGAAGCAGTGGGACTCTGTGTGCCCACGCGTCTCGCAAGGCTGACCAGTCCGGACATCCGTGCTAATAACGTACGGGCAGCGAGCACTACTCAGCGACCCTTTACCCTGAGCATACCACTCACGAAGCTGTTAAGGGGTGAGGGACTTACGCAGGCGACGCTGCAGCTGCACCTGGCCACTACAAGCAGCTGTGGAACTGCTCACTCCAGGACGACTCCCACTATGGCTACCCCGACAACCCCAACTAGCGTACCACTCTCGAAGCTGTTGGGGGGTGAGGGACTCACGCGGGCGACGCTGGAGCTGCATTTGGCCACGCCAGGAGTAGCAGTAGTAGTAGAAAGGGCAGTAGCAGCAAGAGCAGCAGTAACAACAGTACGGGCAGGGCACTGCTCACCAGTGGCGAGAAGGGCAGGTGTACGACGGCGGCAACGGCGAGGCCGCTACCACTGTAGAGCGAGATCTATGCGGCAGCTGTAGGGGTGGCTGCTCCACGGGCGGCAGTTGTAGGGGCCGCTGCTCTAGGGGCGGCAGTTGTAGGGGCGGCTGCTGTAGTGGTGGCTGCTCCAGGGGCGGCTGCTGCAGTGGCGGCTGCTCCAGGGGCGGCTCGGCTGCTGGGCGACTCGGCGGCTTAGCTGCTGGGCGGCTCGGCGGCTTAGCTGCTAGGCAACTCGGCGGCTTAGCTGCTGGGCGGCTTGGTGGCTCGGCTGCTCGCTAGGGGCGGCGACGGGGCCGGGTAGGGGCGGTGACGGGGCCGCTAGGGGCAGGGAGTGGCGACGGGGCCGCTAGGGGCGGCGACGGGGCCGCGTAGGGGCGGCTACGAGGCCGCGTAGGGGCGGCGACGGGGCCACGTAGGGAGGGAGGCGGCGACGGAGCCGCTAGGGGCGGCGACGGGGCTGGGTAGGGCCGGCTACGAGGCCGCGTAGGGGCGGCGACTGGGGCGTGTAGGGGCAGCGACTGGGCCGCGTAGGGAGGGGAGCGGCGACGGGGCCGCTAGGGGCGGCGACAGGGCCGCTAGGGGCAGCGACGGGGCCGCGTAGGGGCGGCGACGGGGCCACGTAGGGGCGGCGACGGGGCCGCGTAGGGAGGGGAGCGGCTACGGGGCCGCTAGGGGCGGCGACGGGGCTGCGTAGGGGCGGTGACGGGGCCGCTAGGGACGGCGACGGGGCTGCGTAGGGGCGGCAACGGGACCGCGTAGGGAGGGAGGCGGCAACGGGGCTGCTAGGGGCGGCGACAGGGCCGCTAGGGGCGGTGACCGGGCCTTGTAGGGGCGGCAACGGGGCCGCTAGGGGCCGCGAGGGGCCTGGAAGGGCGGTGATAGGGCCGCTAGGGGCGGCAACGGGGCCGCGTAGGGGCGGCAACGGGGCCGCGTAGGGAGGGAGGCGGCAACGGGGCCGCTAGGGGCGGCGATAGGGCCACTAGGGGCGGCGACGGGGCCACGTAGGGGTGGCAATGGGGCCGCTAGGGGCCGCGAGGGGCCTTGAAGGGCGGCAACGGGGCCGCTAGGGGCGGCAACGGGGCCGCTAAGGGGGGCGCGCGGGGCTGTGAGAGGGGCCTCTAAGTGAGCTCGACAGTAGGGCGGCCCATAAGGCGCGCCTCAGGCAGGAGCGGCTGTCGCTCTGGTCAGAAAAAAAAGGTTTCAGTGGTGGGCCCAAGGAAGCGTTCCCACTAGGGAACCTGCTCTATACCATGTGAAGAAATGAGGAATGAATGAACTAGCAAGCAGGTGGGTACAAGTAGGAAAACCTAAAAGTGTTGTACCCCATATTTTCTACCCCACTACAGCCTACACAGACTAAAGCATATGAGTTTGACACAGAGGTCAGGTGAGGCAAAGGATAAATGCGGGGCCATTGAAGATAATCATCAGAATTCATCGAGTTTTCCTGATTGCCACTCGTTTCATCGTCTTAGTCTCTCAGCCACAATCATCTCACTTTTCCTCTTTACGCCTGATCGTTACGATTCTTTGTAAACATCATGAAGACTTCCATCAAGCTCTTGATCGTTACGATTCTTGTCGCCCTCGTCTTCTCTGTTGGTGAGTTCACTCACCTGATTCTTAGACCTACAATCCTCACGGTTGTTCCAGTACGATAATTGCTCCTTTTGTTGCTCTTCTGTCCCCGACCTGCTAGCTACACTTTCCTCCATCCTTTTCCCGTCTTTCAGCTCTTCCAAGTACTATGGCTACAAGCCATTGCCTAATGGGGAAAGCAAGGAGTGGCCGGGGTCTTATGTTCGGCTGTCTTCAAAAAGTAGGGTTAGGGACAGCCTGCAATGTTCGAGCAGTACAATGGCTACAAGTGCACTGATCGTCTTTCGGTCGGCTCCTCCCTCTGTGTGCCATAATTGTGTCAAAAGTGAGGCTTTGGAATCGCGAAATCTCTTGTGGGCACAAAATGTACACGGTAGCTTTTCTTGCGGAAAAGCTGCGGAAAACCTTCCGAAAAACACCCAGGGTGAAAGTTGCGAGAATGTCACCTGTATCGCGCAACAAAACAGCTACGGAAATGTCACTTTCACCCCTCAAATGTGCACACCCACTTGTGTCTCGCGTGTTAAAGAGCGTTACAGTGTGGTTTAGGGAGTTAAGGTTGGCGGCAATTTCGCACAGCTGACGAAATGTTACTTGTGTGACAGAAATTTCTCCGAGCTGAAATTGAAACGACCAATCAACAAGTAGCGCGAATGTTACACGCCAACTGGGTTTCACGAATTTCGTGGTAACGTCGCCAACCAAAACTCTTCTGATTCAGGAATTAGAACCACATCTTGTGGTTCTGAACCATTCGATGTGGGAAACAAACCTGAGCCCACCAATCAGCATGATTCCTTATCTCCACGTCAGCTCTGAACCTAGAACCTCTCAAATGTGCTCCCAACCAACCCCTTCTTCTACCTCCTCCTAGCTTTGTGTCTCATTTTCTGCTCTTGTTCTTCTCAAAACTTAACGTTTTTCTCTAGTTACTAGGCGCGCTACTCTTCTTTGCATCAATCTTTTCTGCCACGATCAGATCCGTCTTCCCTAAGTATTCTCGTTTTCTCCTAAAGTCTTATTGCGTCGTTTTTTTTTTTCTCTCCTTTTGCCATTGTCCAGGTTGAAGTCCAAATTCAACTGGAGGTCGGGAGCCGTTTTACAACCGTACAAAGGGTGTAAATGAGTCACTGAGACGGTCCTTTATCGGTACGTCGACACCTTGTTTCTCCTTTTTTTTTGTTGTTGCCTAACTCATGACGTACCGTGCTGTGCACGGAATGGAGGGCAATGCTGGGAGTGCGTTCTCTCTTGGTCGAATTATGTCGCTTTGTATGCAGATGTGTATTTTCTTAACGTCGTGTGGTGCGCTCCTCATTTGCGCGGCCTTGTATTAATGTCGATGTATTTCGTAAACATGTTGACTTATCAAACGGCACAAGCATTTGTAGTCCACCGCGACAAACAGGTAAGTGGCCGCAAGTATGTCTACTACTACATTTGTTCTCGCATGGCTACCATAAGTTTTTCTAGGTACTACTCCCTGTCTTGGATTGTGTTTATGATTTTACGTGTGTTTCAGAACTCCAGGCTCAAGTGGTTGAAAGGGCGTAAATGTATTGATTCTATTGAAGTACCTGCGGTTAGATTATTTAGTTGTGCCAGATCATGTTGATTATGGTGTTAGGGCGTTTTGTCAGGTCTGTTGTATCAAAATGTACTTATAGTAACATAAATTTATATATGTACATGTCAGAGGTCCACTGGTGATCCCCGATCGATCCTAGGGAAGGGTTACAGGCATGTTGGCCTGGGGGGTTATGGGCGCACTGACCCGCTATTTAACAAGCCCTTTTATCCCAATGGTCTAGTGGTTGGGATTCTGACATGGTATCAGAGCGGTCTCGGGTTAGAATCCCGGTGTATGCACTTCGGGCATCCCAGTGCGGGGGGGTGTCAGAGGTCCACTGGTGATCCCCGATCGATCCTAGGGAAGGGTTACAGGCATGTTGGCCTGGGGGGTTATGGGCGCACTGACCCGCTACTTAACAAGCCCTTTTATCCCAATGGTCTAGTGGTTGGGATTCTGACAGTACATGCTGAACTCAATTGTCTCCACAAATTATATTGCATGCGCCAATATGCATCCCGAAAACTGATGGGCCACGTGGCATTTGTCCGTCCACTATTCACCTTGACAGCTGGCAGGAAAAATCTACATACGTGGCGTTCAGGCGTCCACGTGGCAAAGGGGTGGCAAAAGGGACTTAAAGCCCAAGACCTTCAGACAAATGTCACTTCAAATGTCACCTTTCAGTTGTGTCGTGTGGTTGCAATATGGCCATTTTTTTGTCGCTTTCTCGTCACTTTTCCGCAACTTCGAAAGTCACCCCGCCACAGAAGCCTTTGACCTAGACTTTTTTCTTGCGAAACCAAAGTTGCAGAAAAGCAACTTTGAAGTTGCTATTCCGCAACTTTTTGGGCCTCACACTATTGCGATGAACCAGGTTAGGCCTGCAACTCTTCCTCAATTTGTGGTGAATTGACATACTATGTACTATGCAATGTAGTAAACGAGATGGGGTGACACCAACCCTGTACAACACATCTAAAAAACATGATTGATTTGCTTCTAAAGAATCTACATTGCATCCTTCTTATGGACTAACTTGGGTACCGTACTTCAGACTTGGTACCCGGTGCGTAGCGATTCAAACTTGAAAATTGGTCCGCCCATCACAATGCCGAAGGTCTTATGGTGGAACATCATATCCCGAGCCACTCAGAAGGTCCAAGGACGAGGATAGGCTGGAATCTGGTGGGAGATGGGAGAATGGAGGGTAGGGTTGGGGAAGAAGATGGCATTTGGGTCGCCAAGGAGGCCATGTTGACTCGGTTCAAAAGAAAGGGGTGGGAAGGGGGGCTGAGAGGATCCCGCCTATCACAATGCTGAACACCTGCTTGATGTGGGGCTGGGACGAAGGAGGTAACGGGGAAGATGGTTGAGAGGGGCAGGGGGGAAGGAGGAAACGGGGAACATGGGTGGGAGGGTCAAGGGGGAAGGAGGCAAGGGGGGAGATGGGTGTGAAGGGGCAAGTGGGGAAGGAGGCAAGGGGGAAGTGGGTAGGAGGAGCAGGGGGAAGGAGGCAAGGGGGAAGTGGGTGGGAGGAGCAGAGGGGAAGGAGGAAAGGAGGAAGTGGGTGGGAGGAGCAGGGGGGAAGGAGGCAAGGGGGAAGTGGGTGGGAGGAGCAGGGGGGAAGGAGGCAATGGGGAAGTGGGTGGGAGGAGCAGGGGGGAAAGAGGCAAGGGGGAAGTGGGTGGGAGGAGCAGGGGGGAAGGAGGCAAGGGGGAAGTGGGTGGGAGGAGCAGGGGGGAAGGAGGCAATGGGGGAAGTGGGTGGGAGGAGCAGGGGGGAAGGAGGCAAGGGGGAAGTGGGTGGGAGGAGTAGGGGGGAAGGAGGCAAGGGGGAAGTGGGTGGGAGGAGCAGGGGGGAAGGAGGCAAGGGGGAAGTGGGTGGGAGGAGCAGGGGGGAAGGAGGCAAGGGGGAAGTGGGTGGGAGGAGCAGGGGGGAAGGAGGCAAGGGGGAAATGGGTGGGAGGAGCAGGGGGGAAGGAGGCAAGGGGGAAGTGGGTGGGAGGAGCTGGGGGGAAGGAGGCAAGGGGGAAGTGGGTGGGAGGAGCAGGGGGGAAGGAGCAAGGGGGAAGTGGGTGGGAGGAGCAGGAGGGAAGGAGGCAAGGGGGAAATGGGTGGGAGGAGCTGGGGGGAAGGAGGCAAGGGGGAGATGGGTGGGAGGAGCAGGGGGGAAGGAGGCAAGGGGGAGATGGGTGGGAGGAGCAGTGGGGAAGGAGGCAAGGGGGAGATGGGTGGGAGGAGCAAGGCGGAAGGAGGCGCTTCAAAGAAGTGGAAACAAACGGAGGGGGGAGAGAGGCAAAAGGGGAAGGGGGAGGGTGGGGGAGTGGGGGGGAGGGGAGGAGGGGAGGGGAGGTGTGGTAGGCATGGAGAATGAAGGGAAAAGACTATTCTCATGGCTGGCCAGTTTTTGAGGCACCTCATAGATAGTCGGCTTCTGTTGAGCTGAGTGCTTCCTGCTGCCGCCCCGTATCCATCGCGAAAAACCAAGGCCGAAAAAGTTGCTTCCCCGCAGCTTCAAAGTTGCTTTTCCGCAACTTTGGTTTCGCAAGAAACAAGTCTAGGTCAAAGGCTTCTGGGTCAGGGTTACAGGGAATGTGGTTTTCCCGCAACTTTCCCGCAGCTTTTTAGCAACGTTTCCCGCAACATGGCCGCAAGACGCACAGCGTTATGGGGGTCGCTTCTACGTCATGTCCCTGTTAGTGACATTTGCGTCACCATGCGGACACTCCACGGTTACACCTGTGCGTTGCCACATAGCTGCCGATTAGCATACACGAAGTCACTATTCCACGTCAGCATAATAACTACACGTGTAATCACGCTTTATGACAGGTGGATGCCCAACCATAACGAATCGTATCGTGCCGCATGTACGGTCGAGATAGCCACAGTTGTACGACCGCGATTGTCGCGTGGCAACTCCGCTCTGCCAACCACAGCACGGCACATGGCCGCTCCGGATACGCCGACAAACTCCAGATCTCACACGCATACGCCTCATCTCTACCGTCCGTCCGATACAAATGTCATCCCTCAATTTGTAGTGGAATCCACCTGTACCTACACAGGCCGTCCGTTTGGTGATAGGGTTTTCCAAATAGCCATTGGACACCGTCGTCGGTCTAAAAAAAGGCCCGTTTAATTGATGAGCGGTTCGGCGGATTGTACGGTTGCCCTCTATCCACGTCGCTAGACTAGCGTGGCATCTAACGGCTCCTATTTAACCCGCCGCATATGTCGCCGCGATTAGCGCCGCAATTGTCGCCGTACTGCGCGGAATGCAGAGAGTTGCGTTTCAACCATCCTCGTGTCCAAGATGCGCAAGGTCTCCCCTAGGTGTGCAAGATCCAACATATATGTCACCGATTTATTGCACATATGCACTGAACCAACAACAACTACAACCTGTCCCCACTAAACCACTACACTAGTCTACGACACACAATTGGATTGAACACACTGTCAGCACTTCACCCATCTGTTTCACTATCCGATGCTTCCGACACGGAAGACTCATGTTCTTCGTCTTCGGAGGCTGCTTCATCTTCCAGGAGGCATTCCAGGCCGCAAGATGATAGACGGAGCCCATGCCTGCCCCACTTCCAGGACTTCTTCTCCTCGTCGTAGGCCACTTCATTCTGGCATACTGCATCCGCAATGGCATCGAAGGCCAGCTTCTGAATCCTCCGCACAGAAGCGCCATTCTCGCACGGAGAGTTGTGCAGTTTACCCTTGCGCTTCTCCCAGTTGATAATGGCGTAAGTGATCTGCGAAGGCAGGAGAAGCCCATTTAAAACGGCTAGTTGAACGAAAGTGGCTACAACATATGTTCGCATCGGTGTAAACGTACAAGGTGCTCGAGCCACGACAGGTGGTACAGCTTTATAGTTGTTTCTTTGTCCTTCCGCTTCCCTCCGAAAGCCGCGATGGCACATGCCGCGAACGCTCCGGATGCAAAGGGCAGTCCATCCTTGCTGATGTGCCACTTGCACAAGGTCGGGTCCCCTGCGCACGTGGAATGCAAAATGGGTACAACGATACCGCGTACGGAAAAAGGGGAGGGTTCAAAGACATGTCTGGTCCACTATGGCACGACACAGGAGTTGCGGCCATAATTGCTCTGGCCATATGACATGCGAACACGCACCATCGTCTGGGACGGGGACGCAATATCTCTTTCGGGCACGCTCCCCGGTGCGCTCCGTCTTACGTGCCCAAGGACTGGCCCTGTCCTCGTCATCATGGAAAAGACCAATTCGTGGAAGAAAAACTCCGCGGGCGCGACCGGCCAACCCTGTTTTGTACTCGGACAAGGTCTTGTTCAGATCCTGCCGTCGAGCCTTATCCGCGTCTAACGCCAGAGTCGCAGTTTTGGGAGAAATGGTGGACACGACATGGCATAGGCCGGCGTTTTTGGCGTCGCGACTCGGATAGAAGTCCATCTTCTCGTTCGGGGCTTCTAGAAATAGATTATCCTTAACCATGTCGCAAACACCCTGCGACAATGAAAATAGTTGTGCGGGGGGGGGAACACGGTGACGAGTTATATAGTGCATCCAACAACTGTGCCACGAGGTGAGCAGAACACACTATGCGAGGCCTCACCTTCCAAGCCTTCTCCGCTGGAAGGATGTCAAGGGCGGTTTGGAGCACTGGCAACTTGTCGTGACGCGCGTGTCGTGCCACTTTCGCCGGCAACTCGTCCTTATTGCACGTGGATTCTTCCTCATCATCTGACTGGCGTTTCCGCTTCGAAGCTTCCCGGCCGAGCGAGGCTGCGGCACTTGTGGACGCCCGCTTGTGCTTACACCCTTCGCCAAGGTGGATGATGGTTAGTACGTGTGACTCCATACGAGCCAGTGTCTTCGCGGTATCATTCTGGGAATCACGCAACGCATCAAATTCCTCGCGTGTGACTTGGCCATCGACTGCTGTCAGAATGTTATCTTATGCTCTAGCCTGTAGTGGGGTGCTCTATAGCGAGTACAACCCGTCTAGGGTTTGCTATTTGTATCCCCATTCTTGCTAGTGCAATCCTCTTCTTTCTTCTAAACTTTCACATGCTATCAGAGCAGGTCGATCCCCTTGGATCGATCCTGTGGGTGGGTTACCACCTCCTCGCTTCCGCTGCAACTTTTTCTTCCCGCCGTGCGCCCCGAGGCGCGCGGCGGTTTTCTGCCCGCCGTGCGCCCCGAGGCGCGCAGCGGTTTCTGCCCGTCGTGCGCCCCGAGGCGCGCGGCGGTTTTCTGCCCGTCGTGTGCCCCGAGGCGCGCGGCGGTTCTCTGCCCCGTCGTTCGCCGCGTCGCCCTCTGGTGGCGCCGCGACGGGCGACGGGGACCCGTCGCGGCCCCGCCGACCCACTTCGCTGCCCCGCAGCCCCATTTCGCGGCCCCGCCACCCTACGTTCGCGGCCCCGCCGCCCCACTTCGGGGCCCCGCCGCCCTTCTGTCGCGGCCCCGCCGCCCCAACTTCGCGGCCCGGCCGCCCTACACCTGCGGCCCCGCCGCCCTACTTGCGCCCCGGCCCCTTTTCCCGTCGCCCGTCACGGCTCCCTCGGGGGCCACTTCCTGGGGGAGGGGGGCGAGCGCCGCCATCCCACCCTGCCAACCCGCCATCCCACCCTGCTTGTGTTAGGGTTTGGGGGTGGCAAGTAGGGAATGGCGCGTATGGGGGTGGCACTTCTTCATTCCTCCCTTTGCTCCTCCTCCTCCTTCGTCTCCCACTGCTGCAGCTGTCGCTGAGGGGGGTGGATGTGTGGGAGACTGGGGTTTAGGGTTTAAGGGGGGTGCGTGGGAGTGGAGCTAGCGGTGTAGCAGCGGGTGTGTGCCAGGGGGAGTGGGATAGTTTGGGGAAGCTGCATGGAGGTTGCCGTCGTGTCGCCAGCAGCACCTGTATTCCGGGGACTTCGCCCGGTAGCCCAGTCGTAGCCAGCTGTGCCAGCCGCCCGTGGGTCCGTTGCTCGTCTGCCGCTACTTTAGCCGCGGGGCCAGTTACTCCAGTATTCCGGGGGCTTCGCCCGGTAGCCGCTGTGCCAGTCTGCCTCCTGTTGCCCGTGTGTCTGCAGCTTCAGCCGTCGCCTCCTATCTCCTCTCCTCTCACTCTCTCTCCTCCTCCTCACTTGCCCGTTGTGACTACCACTAGCTTTGCTCATAATTGTGAACTTAAACTATTGCTTCTTGAACTTGTGCTCAGAATGTGTGGTGACATTGTGATCCACCCTGAGCTTGTACTGCTTTGCTTGCTCTGCTGATTACACCCCACTTTGGCTATGGGGGTGTGTCAGAATATTATCTTATGCTCTAGCCTGTAGTGGGGTGCTCTATAGCGAGTACAACCCTTCTAGGGTTTGCTATTTGTATCCCCATTCTTGCTAGTGCAATCCTCTTCTTTCTTCTAAACTTTCACAGCTGCTTCTTTCCGCTTCCTCGAATGTGGCGCTTTTGTGGCCTGCTCCTCCTCTGATCCGTTCTCGCCACACGGATCATTGCTTGACGACTGACCACCAGCGTTTCCCTCCTCGTCGTCCTCATCTTTGCCTTCCATTAACTCGTCTATCAGGCGTTCCTTCACGGCCTTGCTATCCTCCTCCCCTTGTGGTGCGCTGGCGACAATGGGCGTGCAGGCTGCCTCCGCGCCGACGGCCCCGACAGCCTTGGCGCTGCATATCTGCAGCGGCACTTCTCGAGTCTCTGTGACCAGGTGCGTGGTAGGTAGAAGGGTTTTAAGTTTGCGTGCGCATACGGCATATCTCACCACAGTCATGCATTAGCGCTGGTACATGAAATGCAACGTACTTGTCACGTCACAAATGTTACCTTCGTCATGCCCCGCGTTCTTATCCTTTGCGCCACATTTTTCTGTGCTTGTTTTACGCCTCTTGGGTTCCGGTAGGCATCGTCCTTTCTTCTTCTGCTCCCCGTATTCATATGATTCAACTAACCATGACGGCGCAGTCTTCGCCCGCTTGGAACGACCGCCGTCGGTGGGAGTCATATCGACCTCTAGCGGAGATAGCATCTCAGACCGCATACACAGCGGGGTCGAAATGGCGTAGCTCTAAACCACCCCGGGGTTCTACCCTCGCTCGCAACAGTCCCCTTACAACTCTCGTCGATATCGCAATGCCCGATACCGGAGTTTCTCACCGCACTAGTTGCCTCAAGCTCTTGGCCACGCGCACAATTCTACACATGTCACGGTTAGAGTGGCCATTTTATTACAGTCAAATGTTAGCCACACTTTCCACATGTAAAGTGTCGCCGTGCCACGATTATCACATCGTCGATGCTCGTCCTCGTTTCTGTCAGATGCGATACTCCACTTATACACCCCCTTATTTCAGCATTTGCCACTAGCCCCAACTGTGGTTACATTTTCTACATGTGCAAAGTTTTAGTGTTATTTGTCGTATATTTACATCTCCTCGATATAGACAGTTCAATACCGTGATACATGCGATGCTTACATTTCCAGATCCACCTACCCGCCACCAGCTCTAACTCCTATCACTATGAGCACAGAACTAGAACATCCCGTGGTCCAATGGTCACCCTGTTCATGGCTTCAGGCATCACCCTCTGCACGGTTGACCTCCTCCCAGTCATCTTCTTCGTCGAAATCATCGTTTCCCGGTTCATATACAGCATCATCGTCAACGGACTCATCTTCATCCGTGTAGTCCTCTGGTGGGTCCTCAGGCTCTTCAGCCATAGGCTGGTCCTCTGTAGTTTGCGTGGTCACCTCCACCTCCTCAACGTCACTAATGGCCCGGGACACTCTGCCCTTTCGCCGTGAACAGGTCTCGACCGGCTGCGCATCGTCAAGGCCAGCCATTGCGGCTCTCCACTCCCTCCATCTGTTCCAGCGCCTGTACTTCACGAGTAGCCTTAGGATCTCCTCAGTGCAGCCGGCTAAAGCCTGCCTGTCACCGTCAGACAGCTCCACTGTGCAGCTGATGCGTGAGTTCGGGCGAAGTACAACGGCTCCCGCAGCATACGCGTATGACGCCTCGTCCTTGTCCTCGTACGACCCCAGACGAACCTGCTGACGGCGAGCAGATATGATCCGGACGTAGTACCTCTGCTTCGTTGCGTTCCACATAACTCCCGTTTGGCCGCTGCTTGCGACCCTTCCGGGGTTACCTGGAGCTGCGGGCACGGGAGTCGTAGCGCGGCTGCGCAAAGCCAGTGCAAGATGGTCGCGCTGTTGTTGCCTGACCATAGCAGGTGTCGCGTTGCCGGCAGTAACTTGGCTATCTTTCACGGCAGGTGTGTGAGGTGCATGACAGGGAGAGATTGATGGCACTGCCGCCAGTGCACGCATCGGAGGATTCCGCACGACCTTCATCTGGCCACTTCCGTCCGCGGTGGTTTCTGCTTTCGCGTGCTTGCGTAGAGTCGCCGTCGGCACCATCGTGTCGACCACGGCACCCAGGTGTTGGCGCGCCCCTCCGTCCAGCTCGTCCGACGTCACGCCTTTGCGGATGGCCAGATACTCGATCTTGGCCGTCATAACCTGTATGTCGTGCTTAATTACAGCGAACTTCTCCTTGTGGTCTAGCAGCACTCTTCGGATGTCCATAGGAAGGTCGACGCATATGTATGCGTTGTCGCCGATAACGTGAACAGGCTGCAGAGGTATGCGGAGACCCTGGCGCTGCAGCTCGGGAATCAGCGTTCCCTCGGCATGAGAACAAAGTTTCCCACACATCTTGTGGCGGTACCTCTCAGCGCTCACGCCCTTGAACGATATGTACTCTCTCACGGTTATGAACCCAGATGTCACTAGAGCTTCGAGATACTGGCACATGTACACTCCGTAGTCCCAGCTGTTAGGTTGTTTGGGGATCTGGTGACCCTGCGCACCATCGAGACACGATGTTTCCGTTCATCAGAACGCGCTCCCGTATTAGCAACCAAGTGGCATAGAATGAGCCATACTATCTTTGCAGCATCTCACCTACATGATTATCGTTTCGGCCTTGATGAGCGCCTGCCTAGACGCCTCCTAGTCCACCTCCGGATGATCACATTTGCACATGAGGTGCAATAACCTGCACGAAGATATAGCCAACAGGTCAGATGAGGTCGCAGGACGTCACCGCTGAAAGGGGGTTGCACGGTGGTATATAGCGACTCTCACACTTAAGTCCCGTTAAATGCATCAGTAGTCTTGGCGTGGAGGCCGTCACTGTCGAATAAAATGAACTCCACAGGTGCGGCCGTCTGGCTTACAATCCTGCTCGGGCTGGTTACCACCATCAAAGAATAGTGTTCCGTGCATAATTGAGGGGTCTTTGTTAGGCTGGGGCGAAAGACAGGCTTATTACAGCGGCGGGCAAAAGACGTACTTACCCGGCAAATATCAGGACGGCGATGTAATCGTACTCGAACACAGACAAGCCCGTGCACCTCCCAATCGGCTTCCCGTGAATCTTGGGCCTTGCTGTCAAGGATCACCCATGATTTCCCGTTCGGACACCTTGGGTACCTGATGTTCAGGAGGCTGCATGGGTGCGAAGGGACAACACACGATGAAAGTTTAAGCGTTAAAGTCGGCATATCGTAGGGTGGCGACAAAGCAATCTGTACGAGTATCGCCATCCAAAAACGTACATGTTATGGAAATCGACAACCGCGCCCCCCAGATATTTCTTGTCGGCGAGCGTCAAGGTGTCGTGCGCATTCAATTGACAGCCCACACCCATGTGATTATACAGAGACACCGTCTTAAAAGTCGTTGAAGATGGTGCGTTCAGTAGAGCAGTCAGCGCGTCATTCGGCACGGGCTCTTCTTTGACGCATGGCAGCCGCGAGCCCCATGCGGAAACCGACGCGGCCACTGCGGCCTCCGTATTCATATCCCCCTGCAGGAGTTCACGCGAGCGCAACAGCTTGTTGCTTAGCGATTCCGGGATCGTTTTGTTATCCCGCCGCCCCGCTGCCGGTGGCCTACGCGATGTCATGGCTTGTGGAATATAGAGGTCGCGTTTAGAGGCCTGGGCTTTGGTTCGCGGTACCATGGCTACTACGAGTTCGTGAGAGAGGCCGAAACCCTAGTGTGGCAAGAACTTAACTGTCGGGTTGTAGTGCGACTGAAGCGTTTATACACTCCACCAGGCACCTTCGGGTACAAACATTGGATTTGCTCAGACGACGGAGACCCACGGTCAGATCGCAATTCTAGAATGTGGATACCACCATGGCGGTTCGTGATTGGCAGCGGGTTCTAGCCATATTTGACACTTGTCATAGTGCAATTGTGTCGAGATTACTGTACCCTCGACTGCATGCACAGCCGAGACTATGCGGAACCTTTATACACTCAATTGTGGAGCCCTTATCGGGACGACATATGTCCTGTTATGAACATAACCAAATGCGATTCACAACGATGTAACATTTCGGCCACTCACCTTGATGCGGATGGATTTATTTCGACTTCGTTTCAGTTACACCATTGAATTATTGTCGAACACTGAACGTACCAACGATGAGTGGAGCATCCAAAATAAATGATGTAGATTGATGTTTAGGGCGATGCGGCGTGAAAGTTCCTAAATAGTAGAACTATACCAGCCAATGTAGCAGTGTACCGACGTACGCATTCATGCGCACAATATCTCGGAACCCCAACTGACCCGGACATATACTATACAGGGTACGGAAAGGTCACTAACAAATTAGCTTTTAGGGCACAAACATGTGGTTTCAAGCGTGCACAACTCTGGTAGCCTATGAGGTGTACCCACGTCATTGCGCAATCAGTAGCTTCTGTGGCCAATCCACGCCTGTCAGGGCAAAGAGGGAGTGGCCAGCTGGCGCCGATGCTTTTCAGAAGCTAGACTCACTCATTGTCAATTAGCAGCTACATTGGACGCTGTATCTGCCAAACCTACCGGCTATATCATATGCCGCCAGGTGTAGCAGACGCCACTTTACTTCCATGGCCGCTCTAAAGGATCTCTTGTCGCGCCTTGGCGCACCTCCCAGCGACGTCTACATATTTGTAGAGGTTTCTCTCCTACCTGCTCTGCAGCCATACCTGCATCCGTTCGTCGGGCGCAATGGGAATGATATGAAGAGGCTGTCTACCGGCCTTCTCTATTCCGCAGACGGCGCGCATTGCTTCAGGCCCATCGTAGTGAGCCCCGTTCGGGAGCCACTGAGGCTGGGCCACGATGTCAGTGGCGACGAGTGGGCATATATCCGTCGTACTCGGTCCGGCCGCATAACCCCCCAGGTAATGGCGAAATGTACTAGAGATGACACGCAAAAATGTCTCCTATATATGGACTCAAGACTTTGGTGCTCACTATATGTCTTTGTGATACTCTATGTTGTTACATGCAGCTTTTCACGCAGTTCATGTTAGGCCTCAACGCTGCGAAATTTGCAGAGGACCGTGACATTGTCGTCCTTGTGTCCTCGCGTAGGCACAAGCTCACTTGGGGAGAGGGCAAGCGAGAGCCGAGTGGGCCCTTCATGGTGCACTACCTAACCCATACTTGCATTGTGCAGCTTCATGATACTGTACCGGATGTGGGGAACCCCGTCGTGCAGGGCATTGTCACGTTCTTCAGGTCCGAATTCTGCACAATGTGGGTGGACCACCAGACTCGCTTCATGAGGCACGTGCCTCCAGCTTGGGTGTGGACCAGCAACTCTCCATCGGCCGCGAACACGTTGCAGTGGACATACCAGGCACTGTGGGGGTGGCGACATCTCACATTCAGCTCGCGTTTTGGCGCACTAGGTGCATCCCGGACGAGTGGCTGCCTCGGCTTCACGCGATCAACCCCGACCTGCATGTCGAGGTTGTAGAGCAGCTCGTCGCTAGCCTCACGGGCCTGCAGAGGAGGCTGGACCAGTTGGACATCCCCGACTGCGTGATGGAAGCATTGGACTACGCGACTTGGGATGACACCATGGACGAGGATACGACTGAACGTGTTCCTGAGCCGGTCATCCGTCGGATTGATGATTCAAGCAGTGTCGGCCGCGTCTCATGGGACGACAGGACTCGCCGCCGGTTCATGCGTATGGCATTTGATGCGTACACAAGGCTTGCTAGCGCCACAGGAGTAGCTCCGAGTGTCCTCGTCACGCTTAAGCGTTTGGGGAACCTGGACCTCGTTGACCGACTGCTGCGCACACCAGAGAAGAAGGTTAGGAGGCATTCATACGCGCCTTCCTCATCCATGTCTTCCACAGCCAGCGAGGAGATATGCTTCAACTCCCCAACGGCATCCCTGTCTAGCGTGCATGGGGATATTGAGTATGGGATGTAGTAACTGATGGTTGTATTGCTCTCAATAACCATTGTATTTGTCGAATAATAAGCACATCGTCAATCATTGTGTACGTAACGAGATTGTTCACATTGGGGATATAGGGATTTTCACGCTCAATCCGAGAGCGAGTATGATGTTCACCTCCCCGATATGGCACAATCTGAAGAAAGCGCGAACTAATTTTGCAGTTTGTGCTCGGTACACCCAGTTGACCATGAAAGCGTGCCAACACTCCACAATCCACTCCACACCGCTTCATATCATCCCAGCAGCCCGTTCCTCGATTCCCGTAGGACGGACACTTACAAAACCCTAACGTCCGCCTAATGTTACTAATTTTAGTTGGTAGTGGCATGATGAGCGCAACACGTTGTAAAGCGCGCGATGTGCTGGAGCCTCGTCGGCGCAACACTCGGGGTTATTTCATACGGTCTAAGCCCACTATAGCCTACGCCATAATGCAGGTGCAGGGTGCCATAATGTCACAACGAGGTGAGACCCTTAGCGCGGCCACGATTCTGAGGTCTCTGGACCCATTCCTGGGTAGTGGAAGGCGCAGTCCTAGACAGCCCAGGGCGCGCGCGATTTCAAAAGCCCATGTGTCTCTTGCAATAACACCCGATGCACCCACACTGTTCATGTACCTGAGGCTCATATACGCCACGTATCCGAACGAGTCGGAGTCGAGCATTACACGTGCCAAAGGTCGACGGTTTATGACATCAATAGCGGATTACATTGGAGGCGAACGGGGTCATTGTCGGTTTCTGAAAACCCATCAAACAGGTACGTGGTGCATGCAGTGGTCCTCTTCGAGTCTTCGATGTGTCAGACGGCCGGGGAGGTGTGGTCAAGGCATATCCATGCCTCTATGCATTTGTTGGCGACTATCCGGAAGGGTGCCGGGCCACAGCAACGATGCAGCAGGCGTCGCACAGACCGTGCTCGATCTGCTACATCAAGAGGGCGCACCTACATGACCTGTCAAACCAGTCAATAGTGCGCACTGTGAAGGGAGAGCGGCACATGGCGGCGAAGATACTGAGCGCTACGAAGGTGGAAGGCGCTGCAGCGATCCAGGCCAGGTGGTCTACGCATCCGATCACGGTGCGCGTTTGATGTTTGTGTTTGGCAAGTTACATGGTCGCGGCCATGATTGTAGCGGCATGATGTTGCTTTTTATGATGAGTCTGACAGCACCATCCAACGTGCAGAGCGTTCTGGAGCGCTGGAACTTCTCTGAGACAAAGTGGGGTAACGTCTTCGTGGCGGTTGTTGGCGACATATTGCATGTGCTGGATTCCGGGGTGCTGGTGCATATGGCAACATGTTTCATGGAGGGGAAGACAAAGGCCGAGATTCGGGGGTTTGATCAGTGAGTACACAGAGATTCCATGAACTGTTTTGTATGCGGTAGTGCGTACGTGGCGGATCCCACCACGGGAACAATTGAATCTCGTTGCTTGTGTGTGATTGGTGCGTGGAACAGCCGCAAGTTTGGCGTGAAGGGCGAGACAAGGAGTGTCTTGGTGCGCATCCCGGGTGGCTCCACCTTTTTACGCAGCGGGGCGAATTACGCGGCGTTCGAGTATCGTGGCATGATGCAGGTTTTCCCTATTGTCGTTTCCGACCTGTGTGTTGGGCGCTCTGCGGAGGAAAGGGACCAGAGGGATAAGGAGGTTCCTGCCTTCCGCTACTATGCGGTCTTCTACAAGTCCCTGCTGGCTGTGACCAAGCACACGCGGCTCACAATCGCCATCGCGAGGCAGCATGGCATCTCGTGAGTGAACATGATGGCCACGTGTTTCGGTGCTACAATTGGCCATGTTGTACACTGTGGTGATCCTTTCAATGTTCGCATTACAATGTGCATACACCTCCGTGTAGACTGGTGGCTGCACTGCAGGCGGCTTTCCCGAGGCAGAAGTCGAATTGGAACTTCGTGAAGCTCCACGAAGTTGTACACCTCATCAACGGCATATCCATGAGGGGTTTGCCGCACGAGTATTCCACGGAGCTGTGGGAGCATACCCACAAGGGCACCGTGAAGGGCCCCGTGCGCGGAAGCAACTGGAAAGACATACCAAGGAGGATTATCGAGGAGGAGACGCAACGCGAGATCACTCGGGAGATTGCAGCGCTGTCAGGAGGAGGGAGAACTTACTACACCGCCTTGCGAGAGGTACACAATGCGTCGCCGTGTAGTGTTGGTGGCATTTGTTAAAGGCACGCAGGTATGTGAGGTGTTTGGAATCAATGACTCCACCGGTTCATCCCATGCGTGCTCACAACCCACCCCTCAGGCTGTGCGCAGCATGAAGCCTGCGCTGACCCGCACCAGCAAGGCCATGTGTCTCATGACGACAAACGATCCACTGCGGATGCTGTACAGGGAGACGGTGGGCAGCGAGTTTGACAACATGGCGACACTCATGGCCGCGGAAGGCCTTCAGACTTCACGTGTGTTGGTGAGATGCAGTGTCATGTTAGTAACTCGGTAATCAAGCTGTTGGCTTCGGTTGTAAAGGGGGGTGGGCCGTTGTGTGTTGGACACGTACGTGAAGAGGCGTCATCGTACAATGTATTGGTCCTCATGCAAACCCACCCATACCCGGCAGGTGCACACCGCAGTGGCCATCCCTAGCACGAAAGGGGGGTACTTGGTTCCGAAG